AAAAAAAAAAAATTCACTTTAATGAACAATGTCCATGTAAAAGAAACCAAACGAACACTAAATTTTGATGAAAAATAATGAAAAAATAGTTTTCGAGAATTTTTTTTTTCTTTTTTACTTTTTGGCTTGTTAAAAAAATTCACTTTAATGAACAATTTTTATGTAAAATAAAGCCAAACATGTAACAAAAAAATCCAAAATTTAAAAAAAAATTCAGGTGGAAAATTATATCCATCAAACACACATAATTAACAATTCCCTGGAATACAATTTTTAGGCAATTACTTTCCCTGAAATTCATTTTCTTTTCACCCATTTTCCACTCTTGCAATCAAAAGGACCCTATGTATAAATACATCTTTTTGTGACACTTTTTATGGGGTAATGAAGATTGTATGATGCTACTAATATATTACAAATCATAATCATAGTGGCATTAGTTGGTGAAACTATTACTTTGCTCTTCTGCAGAGATAATTCCGAAATCGAAAAACATATAGAGGTAAATTTCATCAAAAGTGATCAATCTTTCATAAGTGTGGCACTTATGTTTCAATTTATCATTTGTTGCATCCAAATCTCTAATCTTTTAAAAGAGTGATACCCATGTCCCCAATTATTAAAAAATGTTAAATGACAACGTGACACTTATGTTCACCCCAAAAAATGAACTCAACAGATGCTGGACCCACTCTTGTCACGTCAAGTGCCGATCCGACACGTTTCTTTCGGAATAGGAACGAAAACTTGATTGTAAGGAACATGAGAGGTACTTTCCAACGAGAGACACAAATGTTCGGACTCCGGCGATTGGGTTTGAGAAACACTCACGCTGTCAACGAATGCTTGATCCGTTTAACTAAATCACTCATTTTCGTCCTGGAATATGTGGAAGGATAGATATGTAAATGTATTGTATATTCTGTGGATATCAATGTGTGTTCTCCTTGTGTTTTGTAAAAACAAAGCTAAGTGTATAAAGGTGATCTTTCTTTCTTGATTGGCCCCCCTCCTTTTCAGTACAAAGGGAGGTTTTTTATACTAACCTAA